ATGCCTGCGTCGTCATCAAGTTGGGTATCCCTCTTGCTTGGTTTCCCAAGGTGTGTTTCGAAGTCTTCCTTTCAGCGATCGGTTGTTGCGTGCGCATACTTTGCACCAGCTGCCAGAACCGGTCAATTTGTCAGAGTCCTCTCTTCCTGTGATTCCCAGAGCAGACTTTTCATGCTAGCAGTGGGCAAGAACACTGGAAAGGTTAATGTTTCAGTGGCTGCCTGGCATCCTGAGACGCACATCTCACAAATCGCATAGTTACGCCTGCGTTCCGCTTCACTCTCCGAAGGAGCTCTTAAGGCAGAAACTGCGCGGCACTTCAGGCCGACAAGTGTTATGCAGATTCTGTGTCTGTCTGTCTGTCTCTGTGTGTCTCGACGGGTGCCTGCGCACGTGTATCTGCGCATGGGCCGTTGCCGTGCTGTCACGTCAATGTGTGCACATGTTAGGCAGGCGCATGCTTGTGGTCTTCCGATGCTACCTAGTAGCATGGCATAGCTAGCCGCCCGGCCATACATGTCGGCGCACACACATGCCATCCTGCATCCATTGAGAGCAAGTCAGAAGCGAGTCACCAGCAGGACTCACTGATGGACGAAAGCCAACAAATGCACACACCTTCCTGTTCTGACAACTGCGCGTGGTTATCTGCGTGTGCAAACTCAGACTTGCAAACATGTCGACATGTCTCGTGTCAGGTAGGTCCACCCGATACACGGACACAGGCATGAAGCTGCCGATACTCTCTGCATGCATCCGAAAACTCGGTGAAGCAAGTGGCATGCACAACAAATTTTCGGACCTTGCTCCGCATGTGAAACTGGTTGACTGCAACTGCAACCATCTGGTTTCAGAAATGGTCGCAGTAGAAGTTGTTCCGCATCAGGGTCTGCTTGCAAAGCACTCCGATCACTACTATTGGGTTTCGGGTGTAGGAAACACTTCAATGCGACTATTGCGATGACTGCTCTCATTACTACGCTTGGAAGTGTTAACATCTAGCAATTCCTACTCCTCTAGATTTTGCCGGCTGTTTCTTTGCAGCACCCTACGCGTAGGTTTCAGAACTACCTGGTCTGCCCACATGCAATGAAAAGCCGCTGGCCGATAAGACCACTTCTCGTGGCGGCAGGTAGTGTCCCGCAACAGCGTAGTCTGTGCACTGCATGCTCAGTAAGAGTGGTAACCGGTTCTCTGGACACATGAGACAGGGCACGATTGAATTCTAATCCGAAGCGCTTCGGGATGTACTCTCCATGTCGCCAGGGGCCGAGACGGTAAGCAAAATTACGAACCAGTCTTCACTAGTGCTACAGAGGCTGTCACACACTTGCCCATCTCGCGGCCCCTAGTTATGCGAAGTACGGTTTAGCAATATTTATAGGGTTTGTATTTTGTGGGAGGTGATTCTGGGGATGCTAGTGACAACGACCCCACCTCATGTCGGCTGCCTGCTGGCCCTTGGCTCAGAACCTGTTTGCTCCGGGGCTTCCCGCGGCTCCGCAGGAACCTCGCCGGCCTCGTCCACTGTCTCCAGCGGCTGGACGACCTAGGACTTGCTTGTTGGTGGTTACAGGAGAAGCTTCTCAACGAGAACAGCAAAACCTCGTTGGAGCTCCGAAGATCTGTGCCATCCGCCCGCAGCGCAGGTGTTTCTTAAAAAGGCCAGCAACCCTGCACCACTTCGGGTTTCGAGACTCGGACTGGGACTCTCCAGGCGAGGCGAGGCAGCGAGGGTTCAGGGTTTAGGAACCATCTTCCTTGCTCAGGGAACGAGGGGGCCCAACAAACCACATTAACATCAGGATTCCCAGTGTTGGACGCCCTAAAAATGATCTCAAACGATCCCAAGAATTCCCCGATTCATAGTCATCTGGTGTCTTCAGGATCTCCCTTAGCCCCAAATGTCGTCCTAGGATCCCACTCATCATTCGATCTTTAGGGGGGGCGGCCTCCATGGAGCCTCGTCTGGGCTTGGGCTGCTCCCAGGGTGCCAATCGAAGAGGCTTCTTCGGCTCCTCGGGTAGAAGACCTCACCAAAAAATTCTCCGGGTCTCAACCGAAGATTCTTCGATGGCTCTTAGTCTGACGTCTTCATGGTAGGACTCTGTTTTGAGGACGGTCGGGAAGGAAGCTGCAATAGTAGATTGGTTGTTGACAACATGACCGGGATAATCTTGACCTCGGGCATGCATATCTAGGTTGAGAGGAGACATGAAGGCCGGATGTGTCTGCTTACTAACATGGGCATGGAGGCTCTCTGAATCTCCAGGTCTGAGGTTGACGTCGAGCTGCAAGGAATCCACATGGGATGTCCTAGACTGAACAGCTGGCTATAGCTGCAATCTTTCCCCCAGAAGTTGAGGTTGCTGATGTTCTCGTTTGCCCGGCACCCTAAGTGTGCAATTTGACCTTAAATCCCAGCCTGGATAAGTCGTACGCCGCTTCTGATCGCAATCGATGATAACCAGCTGTCTCTGTGCGGACTCAACCAGCGCCATCTCTTGCCGAACCTTCAGGGGGCCAAACCCAGGGATCTGAAGGCTTGCTGGAAGGAGGATGAGAGTAAGGCAAGGAGAACCGACAGGCCAAATATGACCGACCTCCCCCCCGACATGCAAGCGCGATGCCTGTAACCGGAGATCCAGGGGACAACACTTGCCTACATAAACTGAACCTTCGGCACCACAAGCCTCAATTTTAGAGTGCCAGGAATTCGGCACCAACACCCGCAAAACCATTCCAGGTAAAGAGTCTCGCACATGATCCAGGTTCACTTGCAAGTGCAGATGGGCTGAGAGGGTGCTTGTCTGCACTTGTGCTGAAGGTGGCATATGCACGGCGTCTGGACATGTACCCAAAATTCCAATGCTTGAACGAAGACGCACCTGCCCGCCCACACGGCCCCCTCCGTCCCACAAGCCAGAACATCGGCGAGGCCTCGCTGTGTGACCGCTCGATCAGCTCCTCGGCACAATGCTGGCCGATGAAGTTCAAACGCCTGAGCTGCCATTCTCGCAAGAACCCTAAACCGTCCCAAGCGCACACGGCGATTCTCATATTTTTGGGTCTCGGCTCTTCAGAGGACGGCACAGCATTTGGGGAGGGCTGAGAGGCTGGAGTCTGAAGGAATATGAAGTTTGTCTGAGTTTGCCTCCGGCTTATTGCAAAGCTTAGCCCTTTTTGCAGCAAAATCAACCGACTCGGCCTGTCAGCTCCACTGCATGTTCCATGTTATACGTGTTTCAAATTTCAAAGGCAATCCTCAGTTCTTTTTCTTTTTAGCCAAATTATAGAGCTGTCTCAGTTGGACAAGGGCTACACCTTCAAGGTACTGTTGCTCCAATCCAAAACGCAAGAGGCCGATTCACCAAAGCGAACTTTGTGGCCGGGCCACTCCTGAATCTCATCGGCCTCTCAGAGTGCACATGCTTTTCGCGGTGGGTTCTTGCATCTCTGGCTACGGTTTCGACTCACACACTCGCAAGGCAGGCATGGCACGGTCCGGGATGGTGATATAACGTTCAGGTCATCCTGCGTCATGTTGGAGTAATTCGGTGTTTGCATGGTTGGATTGCCACCGCTGCTGCTGCTGCTGCTGCTGCTGCAGCAATCGCTCGGTAAGCTGTTGCCCTGACACGTCACTTCGCAGGAAGGTCTTGTTGTTGCAACATGGCTCGGCCATCGTCCTGATGCTCTGGAAGGTTTCAAAGAGCATGCCCATGATCACCCCCAACATCACAATCACCCCCTGCTTCATCGCTTTCATGCTAACCCATCTGTTTCGTTATCACCAATGAACTTTGGTCATCACCATCATCTGCATCATCAGCAGAGACATCATCAACATCACCAGCGCAACGGCCTTGACAAATTAGCCCCACCATCACCGAAGACTAGCCATCGTCAGCGTCATCTACGCCGCCATCATCTTCGCCACTGTCGCAATCCAGATATTTCAGATATTACTGGGTCTGCTGCTGCTGCTGCTGCTGCTGCTGCTGCTCTTGTAGCTGCCAATGCTGGTAGGATGATCGGTATTGTTGTGTTTGTTGTTGAGGCGGCTGTTGCTGCCGCGGCTGCCGCTGTTGCCCTTTGTGTTGACTGCCATTCCTCATCATCCTCAGTATCATGGCCAGCAGCAGAAGCACGATCTTCACCGCCATCGCTACGAACATTGCAGTAATCATAATGCTATCATAGTCAAGGCCACCTTCTCGTTCAGCACCAGCAGCCTCCGGTTGAAAACCAGGGCCCGACCGGTCCTGACAGTTGTGAGCCCACAGCTGGGGGCTCAACACATTCTGGCACGATATCTGCAGGAACCCATGGGGTCACAATGCCTTTCGGACTAGTTCGAGCTGGTTCAGACTCATGGCTTCAGCCATTCAACTCCGACACTCGACCCTTATGCCTCAAAAAAGTTCAACAAAGGGATGGGGTTTCAGGATCTCTTGGCTTAGTGATGATATCAAGGGTTCAACGTCATGCGTGGCACAGGGCTCAAAATCCAGAGCCGCTGGTATTTACGATACAGAGACGAACAAACACAGGCACAGATATAGTGTTTAATGTTCCGCTCGCCCAAAGAGACACCTACTGGTAACAGGTGTGTGCTTTGAGAGTCGCCTTGGGCTTTACACTGGTTTTAATATATCCCAAAATGGTAAAAAGCCTTGATCCTTCTGCCTTGTCCAGGTAGCTACCTGAGACCCGTCCACAAGTCAGGCGAGCGGCTGCTTCTGTGCAAGACCGATCAAGCGAACGACGTCGGAACCCAGGGCAGGTCCTGCAAGCAAAAGGTACTAACAGGTCACGGTCGTTCTTTTGGAGGGCAAGCAAGAATAATTTCAGGATGTGCATGTCGTCGCTTCTGGTGGTAAGACCGTGAATATGGGGGTATATTGGCAGGCAGGGAATATTTTGTTGAGATTGCAAATTCATTACTACTGCTTGCCTGGATGGTAAAAGACTTCGTGCTGTCTCAAAATGACGGCTTCTCTTCTTCGTTGTTTGGTGAGGGGGCCTCGGTTTTCTGGAAGGTTTGAGAATTGATGGTGGGATTTTCAGGCCAAAAATACGGCTTCACGACTACAGCTGAAAAAGACGTGCGCATTTTCACCTGTCGGGCAATGTAGGGCAAAAGCTGAGTAGAATGTTGCCCTTACAGTTGGGTTTAGCGTGACCTCGGCCCTGCAAAACCAAGAGTCGCGCGTTTCCGGCGCAGGTTGCTGGATGTTGCTAGGGAGTTTTCATGGATTCGAGGGTCATGAATCCGCTTCTTGTTTTTGTCCGGGCTAGTTCCTTTGATTATATAATGAACAGCAAAGCAAATCACCCTCTCAAACTGGGACACGACCAAAGCCCGCCTTTCATCTTCCGCAAGCCCGAGACGAACTCCTTGGGGCTGATGGAACCACTCCTGCAGGGCAGGAGGGGTCGAAGTTTGGACTCTCCCGACTCGAGCAATGCAGGCGGGTCTAAGTTTAGGGCTTTCGGGTTTCGAGGCTGACGCTCGGACAAGTGTGGGCAAGGTTTGAAGACGAGACTAAGCCGAAAAGTTGTTGAGGGGGTTGGCGCCCCACCTCCTGTGGATAAGCATCCTTGTGGGTTTCAGCACTCACAACTTGGCAAAGAAAGGCGACCAGTCTTTCTAGGGTCTGGCAGAGCTGTCGGCTATGCGGTTTTTGGAAGATAAGGGCTTGCAGGCGCAGGGCTTTCGGCTTTGGGGGTCTAAGGCTAAGTGGGGGGGGCGGGGGGAGCTGCGTTCGCAACCCCAAAAGAAAAGTCGCGGGTCCCGTCAGCATCCATGAGCTCAAAGAGGAGCTCCATTTCGTCAAAGCCTGTCGAGACAGACACAGAAATAACGTTAAATCTTTCATCTCAGCCTATAGGCTAAAAGAAAATCAATGGATCAGCAAGTCAACAGAAACGGGAGCCCCTACAGTCTTCCCTGGAGTCTTGCCAGGAAGCAAAAGTTGAGCAGCTTCATCTTCTCCTGATGCAAAAGATGGCAGAGCAGGCACGGCTCAAGATCATTCTCTTCTTGAAAGCTCTTATTGCGAGTATGTTAAGGATCCCAGTTGAACCCAGGTTTCTGAAACCCGCATGACAACTCCCAGACATGAAAGCTGATGATGCCATTGGGACCTACCACTAAACACATCTGATTCGATGTAGAGGCACCTCTTTCGGTCAATGTCTTGGTTGCTACACCAGGAAAACTGAAAAGGTGGGTGAGGCTCTGCAGCAGGCTGACCCGAACCTGGTGGTGAAACTCTCTTGCATGTGTGAAGAAAAATCGAAGAGCTTTGTACTGTGGAACTTGAGTCAAAGAAATCGAGACTCCCCTAGAGCTTCATGTTTCTAACAATCCGCCAATCAAGCAAGTCTCTACCATAGTCTTCGTGCGGATCACCTTCTTGAAATCCTGGCGGGACACCACAGCACGCTTAAAGCTGCAGTCATGGCTCTCTTAAGGGATCTGTCTCACCGTACGTAAGTCCGTGGGAGTACTACGACGACCATGTCGAAATGAATCGCACAGTCCTTGTAGGTCAGTTCTCCGCCGCCTTCCTGGAATGCAGCTTTTAGTCTACGCGAGAAGGGAAGGGGGTGTCATTGGATTATTCTTCACAAGCTTGCTCCGAAGCCTCAACCAAGTGGTGATGCAGGCTTAAGGTGGGGGTGGCTGGGCGTATACCGAGCAGTGCGGACCTGCTTCGTCAGGTTTTTTGAAAACAGAGCCCATGCTTTGACAAAGCCCAATGCGCTCGCTGGAAGAGCTTGGAAGATGTCGGAGTCAGTGCAGTGCAGCTCCGGTGCTCGAATTGCTTTCGCGGAGCTTTGGGGAAGGTGGTTAAACGGTTAGGGATTGCAAAGCCAGCCAACACAAGACTGACATGCTGTAATTTTGATGGTGTCGGACTTGCATCCACGGGTCCCCATCATCGCAGTATTCCGTCAACTCCTCCAGCATGGCTCCAAAAACCTTGCTCTCGACCTTTGCGAGGACCTCAAAGGCGGTGGTTGGGCTTCCCGAAAGGGAATACTGATATTCTGTGCCGACTATGGCATGTCCAGAAATGCCTCCTGGCCTTGGCAAAGTTCACTCTGGTCTCGGCAGCGATGTTGACGATGTGCTCCACCATCACGGCCACCAGGATGTTGATGCACCCGAAGTTCAGGAAAATGACGGATACCCTGAGGCGGCAATGTACTGCTGAGCGACGACAGGCATTGAAAGGCCGACACACTCGTGCAGCCTAGGGGCACCAGCATTGCCACAGTTATGGGGGAGATGTTCATCAACGGCTGACCCAGCGTAGCTGAGACAGCATCGATCGTGAAAACCTCCGGAGGCTTAGCTTGATGGGTTCAACATGCTTCATGGATGCGGCCTGGAGCCATAGAGCCAACTACTTGGGCAATGCCAATTAAGGATCTTGCTGGTTCCTGATCTGTGTTACAGATTTTTAAAGGCTTGGACACCAGAGGCTGAGTTGCTCGAGATGGGGCCAGACATGCGTTTGCATCTGAAAACCTTGCACACGACACGCGTTCACGCAAGAAAGAGGTTCTGCGCTGGCTCTCCTTTCAAGGGAGTTGTAGGAAGCTTCCTAAACACTAAACTCCCAGAGAGTCAGCTTTTAACTCTAGACTCTAGACAATCTCACAGCCCAACATGCCCTCAACGCCATGAGCCCTCACAGTTTCAGAGGACCAGAACTCCAAACCCCTACACCCCAAAAACCCTGCACACCAAACCCCTAAAGCCCGAAAAGCTTAAAGCCCTTTTGCATCCAGGACTCTCAAGCTTAAAGCCCTGATACCCTAAACCTGGAGGATCGTAAGCATGGATTTCCACAATCCACCCACGTAAAGATCTGCGCCGCTCCATTCCTGGGGGCATTCTCAAAGCGGGGTTTTAGGAGAGTTTGGGGTTTTTGGATAGATCAGGTGGGGATTGGGATTCTAGGTTTCGGCCCCTCCGTTCCAAGATTGCGGGATTCTTCGGGCTTCGAGGCTCTTAGGGCTTAGGCACTCCATGCCACGTCATATCGCAAGGTCGACGGGCATGTCTGATACCACGGAGGCCTTACTGAGGAGACTGAGGTTTGGGGGGATATCTAACTAAACAAGACCATCCCGAATTATTCAGACCTCAGTGTTGGGCCCTGGTGGGGGAACATGAGAAATCCGCATTGGCAGGAACTTCGAAACTGGGAGCACACTTTGGTTTCTCAAACCTCTCTTGCCTTGCCTCAGGACGACTTTCCCCAAGAAAAGGGACCCGATACTTCGGATGTGTTCCAGCATCCACAGAACACCTAACCCAACTGCGAGCCTATGTCAACATGCACATGCAGTACTGGGGGAGACCGGCAAGATCAATAAGATTCTCAGATCACAAACCAATCCTGCCCCACGCAGTCTGACTTCACAAATCTATCTAGACACTTCTTATAGCCCCCCTTGTTTCAATACTCTATCACTTTAAATACTCTAACACTTTAACATAAGCTTTTTGGAATGATTCGAGCACCCTCTGCGGCAGGCGGCTCTTCGGATGTCAAGGTCTTGCCCCACCATGGTGGTCACGATGACAGCAAACATAAAGAGAAAGAGGAAGAGTGCGAAACTGACCCAGACCTTGGAGCTGAGGGCTTTAGAGTTGGCTTTAGGGTTTGATCTAAGGGTAACAAAGGGCCTAGGGTTTGCCTTGCTTGGGCTGAGTCGGCACTGCAAGTTGTAGAAACCCGATCAACGTCGAGAACCACCTAGGAGAACTGCCAGCTTCGAGTTGGCTCTTGATACTCCCGCCCCACCGCCCAAAAGCTATCCTATTACAACCCTGCAGCTGGTCCGGCTGGAAGCTTCTATGTTCAGCTTTCGAGAACAAAGGGCTCGCATGGCCCGCGTCTCAAGACCCTGCAAAGCAAACATCCCGGCGACTGCTTTTCCGCAGGACTGGACATTGGTCAAGTGAGCTCTGCTCCCAAGGGAGCCACTGAGCACTCTATACCCCAAGTTGGCTCGTTGACTAACTTCGCAGCCTGAGCTTAACTGCAGGTCTCTCCTACACTGTTTGTCGAGAGGCCACAGCCAGCAGGGAGTCAAGGAAGCCCTGGGTAATGACCCAAAGGCCTGACTCCGAGTCACCAGGCTTATGCTTTGCCTATAGAGTCGGCTTTACACGCTAGCCAGGTGAGGTTTGTCGGGCACAGGTCGGCGTGAGGCATTTGAGGCTTCCCATTACTCGTACTGCATTATGGGTTTACATCAGGTCGGCGGGCTTTGCAGCTTTGGTTTCCGAAGCTACATCATATCACCAACATGGCGTGTGTGAGGGAAATAGGGGGATTCGGATGTGTTCATCTGTCTATTGCTTCCATACTATTATTATGTTAACCGTTCTTCTGCTTACAATGATATCACCTTCACATCCTTACTATTGCCGTTGCAATTCATAGTGCGACACTGCACGCCGTACTTCTGTCCGACACACCTGAAATGCTGAGACCGAGATGTCCCACCTGCCTCACAAAACAGCCCACAAGTCACCCACAATAGCTTCTGAGATCAAAACCCTAGCACCTTATTCCCATGAGTCCTTCGTGGACGATAGCATACGATAGCGATAGATAGCAGCCCAGCCCCTTTCCCTTCTCCTCAACCCATGGTGAAGAGAACCCTAAACCTCAAACCCTAACACCCTATCTCCCTAAAGGCCCTAAACCCCTTCACAACTTTCTGAAACCCATTGAAACCCATACCTCCTAAACCCTAAACCCCAACCCTTCTAAAGCAGCTCCTGCCTGCTAAGGCCTTGAGGCCCTTCACGGATCGATAGACCCGCAGCAGCCTACAGATGCGAAGCATCTTGGCAATACCCAGACCACCAGAGCCCGGCACGGTGATACTCACCTGGGCTCTTCTTCAGGAAGTTGATTTAAGCTACCATAATAAAGATACCACAGATTATCTACTGTAGATCCCTATTGTGGTAACTTAAGTTTAAACTCCTTAGCAAGAACTCAGTCACCTTGAGGGTGCGGGCCATTTGGGTTCAGGGATCGGGTTCGGGGGGCGGAGCAGGTTTGACAGGACTTTAGGAGACTCCAGCTCCAGGAATGGGGACAGAGGGGCCGAAGGCTGAGGGCTTATTTGGATGTCGAGCTCATCGGGCCGAAGGTGGCGAGGGAAATGCAGTCATGGACCCTCGGCCTCGGTGTTAACACTGCTTGCAGAGCCCGAACTGGGCTGTCTTCTTATTCCCGTTGCGGCATGCTCCTCCGGACGGACGCCTTTGAGCTACCTCCACTCCATCACGGGACAATTGTCTCTCTGGGCGGAAACGAGGTTGGCTTTGAAGCCATCGCACATCGCTTATCGAGAGCAGGGCTCGGCTTGCCGTGTCATCGCATCTGCACTTTGTTCGGAAGTCTCCGGCAACAGCACGGTGGAGAACTGTGTTGCCTTCAGGGTTCACATCTGCCCCGCAGCCCTGTGACAGAGTTGCCGAGCTAGTCTACAAGGACCTTTCACAGGGGGCACCTTTGGTTTTCGGAGTCCGTGCCTTCAAGCTCTTACCCGGGCCAAGAGAGAGCTTAAAGGCACGGGTTCCGAAAACTGCAGGTGCCCTGAAAAATGTTGTTGGTCTGTGTCATATACAGACTCTCCCGATTGGAGCGTATGTTCGGTTTCGGGTTTACATTTTTTGTCGTGCTCTTGCCGAAGGCTTGAGCTGTAGGGTGTAGCGTTTACGATCTGGTGTTTCGGGTAGGGCTCAGGAGTCATACTTCTGCAATAAACCAAGCATCCTCTAGAGCATCTAAGGCTTCTCAGCACTGTATCTGTGTAGCCACATGAAAACTCATAATAGCTTCTTCAGGTCATGACTCGAAATCTTTATGAGAAAGGATGCTAACTTCGTTTGGGTTGGCCTGCGGGCCCAAATCGGAGGCAATTGGAGGAAGCGTGCCTCGGACCTCACGTTGCTAAACCTTCTCATGTTCCTGGTGTTGCAGCCGGCAGGCAACAACATCGGCAACACTGAGGGTCACCAAGGTATAGTCGTAGACATTCCACGCATCCTCAGCTTTCTGCTACATGGAAAAGGCTGCACAACAATTGGAATGCAATTTGCACGTGCCAAACCCACGTAATCTGCATCTATCTTGGTTTAGCAATGCTTGCTCCGCATGTGAGAGGGCCGCTTGCTCTGGATATGAAGCCCGTGGAACCAGGCACAAAGCAACGTTTCTTGGTTCAGCCCGTTGCAGCAGAGCTTCTAAAAAGTAGTCCACTCCCAGCTGGTGGACCCGCATAAGGCATTCAACTCCAAAAAACAAAGCAAACATGGCCTCGATGGCAAACCAGTATGACCGGGCCTGACGCGTGCAAGCAGTGTCAACTCTTTTGTGTCCACTTAGTAAAGCCGTGAGAAAGTCCAGCATACCAAGAAAGCCCAAGGAAGACTCTTAAATACATACCGACACGAAACCCTGAGAGTAGTACGGTACCTGATGAGTGCGTATGAGTGCATACTTGGCTCTCTGGGCAAGCCCTGCCTCAAGATCGCGGCTTCTCTGCAGGTCCACCTCGATCCCGATGACTACCTGTGCTGGAGGCAACGGTCCAGGCAAGATATAACAAACTAAACCAACAAAGTCGTACACATATACCCATATTTTATATGTAATAGCCATAGCATTTATAGTTACATTTATACCTGCAAATAAGAATGCATACATACCTACATACATACATACATACATACATACATACATATATACATACATGCGTGCGTACATACGTACATACACACACATACATACATACATACATACATACATACATACATATATACATACATACATACATACATACATACATACATACATACATACATACATACACACACACACATAAACACACATACATGCATACCTGCATACACACATACATACACATCTGTGTATGCACGTAAGTACTACTGGTGGCACATGAATGCGCGTGAATACAATTGCAAGCAGGCAGTAGATGATGCTCAATGCTGATTTAAACATAGTTAATGGCTAGAGCAGCACAAATGAACGAACAAGTGTGCCTATGCTGCGTAGAAAGCGCACACTGTGGGCACTGAGCCAGTGAAAGTCTTTGTCTGTCGGGAGTGGTTGCACACGTGCAGTTGGAACTGAAGTATACATGTCAGTGCCTACCTGCAATACTTGCACGTCGCTGCTCCCAAGCAGCGGTATTCAGCAAGATCATGACCAACACCAGCAAGTTGAAGCCCGCCGATGAAGCCGGGTGCTTCCTGGAGACTTTCAATAGTTGAGGTGGCCCCAACCTGAATGCCCCGTCTGAGTGGCTCCTCACCCTCGGCTTCAAGTCCGCTGCGTAATGCTCTGTAACTCTCCGTGACTGGCTGCGGTGGGCCTAATGTACCTGGCATTCGTCGAATCCAACAAGCTGCAGTCAGGAGGCTTCTGGGCGATGACCTGCTCTCCTGAGCAATCATATGACCAGCACACTGACACACACACACACAACCGCAGAGAAATAGTAAAAGACAGGCGTTTTGTACAATGCATGCATTACAAACACATATCTTGCATTTACTTATGTGTCATTCTTTCTGCCGGTCTTACGGGTCGGATATCCCGACCCGCAGGCCTAGGCCAGCCCCATCCACCTCGAGTTTTATGGAGTGGTCTCGGCATCGGGGTCTCGGTAAGCATCGCTCTCTCTTGCTTGCTTGCTTGGGGTTTGGGTCTCTCTCTCTCTCTCTCTCTCTCCTGCCTATCTATGTACCTAGCTCTCTACCTATCGATCTATTTGTATATATGTATATGTCTATGTATGCATTTGCTGCTATTCCAACTTATCTCTATACACACATGCACTACAACACTCGCCGCAAACGCCATGTGCACGTGCAGTTACATGCACGATCCCAATGTGCAAGGAAGTGGGTGATGCCGAAGGACGCCAGCGAACTCGAAGCTGCTGAAAGACAGTCGGCACAAGCTTAATCTGCGGCCGGTGACCTCGGAATCCACATCCGCAGCTGCGGCTGCTGAGTAGCCCGAAATGCTACTCTTTTCTTCTCAGCGTGCAGTTGCTGTTTTGCCGCTGGGAGGCTGTAAGGCTTCCCCTTCTTCTTCTGGAGTAGCATTTAGGCCACGTCTCCCGCCTTGCCATATGTCGTCGAGCAAAAAGCTCAGGCAAGATGTCAATGCCATCAAAAGCTCTTGCAGATACGCTGGGGAGACTCGAGTATTTATTAAGCTTTCAGATGTTCCTGCCGGACAAAAACAATCTGCGACAGGTCATCAGAGTCGTCATGGCGTTCACTAATGACAACACTGGATGCGAGTGCCGCACTGATAGGTTCCCGCAGAAAGCTGTGCCGAGGCATCATGCCAAGACACTTCGCGGTGGTGCAGGGCGCTTCCTTGTAAGCCTCCATCACGCTTGAGCCATTACAGCTGTCAGCGGCTGCAGGGACTACGCGTTGCTGCCGATGCGAAAAGCTATATGCATTGTATACAAGCATGTGTACATCATCGGTCGGAACCGGGAATAGCCGAAGCCCATAGAGTTGGAACTGAAGACAAGGCCAGGTCAATCGCATTTATAGGGCGTTGGGCGATCAGCTTGAGCAAGCTCTCGACCTTTCGATTGCTAGTAATGCTAGCAACCCCCATGAACACGTCCGAGGCACACAAGACGCGTTCTTGCGCAAGGTGGCGGGAGAGCGTAGAGGAACTGGCAGAGCGGCTTATGAGGGCTTCGCAGATTCGTGCAAGGTTCAAGGAAGTGAAGAGTGTCTGTGTCGTTAAGAAGCTGGGCAACTTTTATTGGGACTAAATTCGCCTGTTCGTTCAACATCCGGCCAATGCTTGCATGTTCATGTATGCACACATGGACCAAGCTGTTTCAGCATCTCTCCAGCAGCTGCGATGTTCTGTCGCGATCCTCTCCATCTCAAGAGGTGGTGCAAACACTTCAACTCAGGTAGGAATAGGGGTGATGCGACGAGTCTTCCGACGCATCTTCACAGAAGGCGGCGAGCAACGGCAACCGTCGAAAACACGATCCTCAAGTGCCATCATCCCGTGCTCGAGGTGCCGGCGAGTTTCTGTCCGAAAGCCTGGCGACGACGACGGCCGGGTACGGCTGCAGGAAGGATTCGTGGCCTAGTTCACCTCTGAGAGGAGCTTGTGGAAGTAGCAAGGAGCAGTCGACTGGACGGCTTGTCTCAGCGAAGGGGTACACCAGGCTCCTCGTCAAACGCCAACAACTTTGGCTTTGCACACTTCCGCTTTAGTGTTGAAGCGCGGCACCGTGCAAGCCGCGTCAGTCAAGCAAGGTTCCAGGAAGTCTTGCTCTGCTTTCTGAAAGGCCCAGCCGCAATGCGGGTCAACCGCGCCTCCCCTTGAGTTGTGGTAGTAGCTGCAGATATCATGCTTCAAGCAGTTCCGCGACCAGTTGGAGCAGAGTCCTGGACCCTCTTGACAGCCAATGCCACAGCGACCGAGGCAGTCGTAGGAGTCACCATCGGAATCCTGACCCCAACACTCCCCGAGCTCCACAAGAATCTCAATGCACTCCCCTCTCTGCTCCGGTGGCCCACTCGTGAACTGTACGACCAAAGCCTGTCCGGCTCGTACCCGCCCGGCACGTACTCGGCACGTCGTAACATCCCTTGCGGGCACAATCCCTCCATGCGGATGCTCCACTTTTGAGCTTCCACACGGCAGGAATCGTCCCTCCGTGCAGTTGCTTCGGATTAAGGCCGTGCAAGGCCTGTCAGATGCTGACACACTGTGCCAACCCGCTGCCACTGTTGTCAGCAAAGGGAGAAGCCTCATGTTTGCAATACATACCTCCTCTGCTCATCTGCTTGGGCCAGAAATATGACGAACACTGGGGCCTCCAATTCCGCAGCTTGCGTATGCGCTTATTTCTGGGGCAGGGGGCAAAACGTCAGCCTGAACTCTGAGCTCAAACCAATATGTAAGGACTCAACAGATTTATATTGATTAAGTTGGCCATCTGGCGACTATTCGGGCATCTATGAAACCACCAGTGGTTCTGAGCCATGTGGACCCTTGCACAGCTTACAACAACGGTGCATCGCGGGCGAAGCCTTTGCCGCGATGCGCTCGTCCCGCTGGTGTATAACGTGCATGGGCTGGACTGGCAGGGCAGCAAGAGAGCGTGGCACTGCCCTAGCGGCTGCTATGAGAGCTCTATAATCTCGCAGGTGCAGTGGCCATCATGGATAGTCCCCCTCGGCTAGCCCAAAGGATTCACGATTCATGCTGCGGCCTGCCATCCATGACAAGGGTGGCTGGCCCAGAATGCTCAGCTCATGTCTGTCTTGCTGACGGTGTCATGTATAACTCTGCGTCGTGGCTGGGCAGTGGAGGCGCTGCCTGTTGGTGGATGGATGGATTCTCTTGTCCGTACCCGTTCAAAAGCCCAAGTGAAGCGATGACCTGCAACACGCCATTGGCTGGATAACAAGAGCTTTTGAAGGCCGGGCAACCGCCAGTCAGCACGAGGAGCACCGTTGACATAAAGGAGTTCAAACGATGGTGTCCTTGCAGCTTGTCGCCTGCAGAATCCTTCGCTCAAAGGGCTCCGATGGTGAACAATGCAGAGCTATGGTCCCTACTTGCCCACTTTTCCCCCATGTGCCGCACAGCATCCTCGAGCTACCATCCAGGAGCATCCGCGATGCTACAGCTACCTACTAGTACCCTGCAGAGGGATCTCGGTTCTCTGCTTGCAAAGGTTGCTTGGTTAGAATCGTCAATGAGTCAAGGATTTGGTTCAATGCTCGCAGAACCACAACATGCCCCAGCAGCTTTCTATGCCTTGCAACTACAAAGGCTGAATTGGATGGACACGAAGCGCCATCATTCATGATGGGGCTCAGCCTCATCTCGTCAACCCAGCTGCGGGCGATCCCAACAAAAAGTTCTCTGGCGACGCGTAAGGCCGTGGTAAAAGAAATTCGCTTGCAATCACATCTTTTGCCACTCCACCCACATCTGTCCCTCTTCATCCCGCGAACGAACCTGCAGTGTCGGCAGTTAGCATTGCATCAGGCTTGCCATTAAAGACAATCGACCGGGTGCTGAGCACCGAGCTTGAACTGTGAGGGACTGGCCCATCAACGCGACATCCACGGATCGGGCGAGGTCTGTGTGTATTGCGACCTCGTCTCTCTATCTGATCACACAGTCACAAGGAAGATCGTGAACGCAGCATCAAGTGCTCGGCTGAGATCGGGCTCCGGATCTCAATCAATGTATAGAACCTGTCACTCGGAACAGGTGGATTCTGAGCACAACTACCAGCCCGAGCAAAGGTTTAGGCTCCGGCACAGGTCGACAGGACCTTTCGGACACTGTCTTTCCTTATCTGCAGCGATGCAGGGTCGATTGTTGGGGGCAGAATGCGTTTTTGAACACTGAGCAGCTTAAACCCCTCTGTGCTGCAAAACTGTGTAACTCTGCAGAAACCCAACTGTCGTCGGTTGCCTGAGCACCCGGCGCCCGGAAGCCTTGTAGCGTTCGTTTGCCTGGACTCGGAGACCGAATGAAGTTCTGTCATTCTACATATATGTATTACATATATATGTGTATATATACTTTTTCTGTCTATATATCTATATGTATATATATATATACATATATGTATATATAGAGGGTGCTTCTTGCTACAGATACAGCTTGGAGCTGAAAGTGGGAATTCGGTCGCCGCAATCCCAGGTTCTCCGTGAAGAACCTGACTATACATTGCGAGGAATCAGACGCTTTTCTTTTGATATCACCTTCGCACATTCTACCAGGGAACTGAGGATCTAGGACTGGCAACTCGAGTTTCATGCACTGCTTGCTTGCTTGCTTGCTTGCTTGCTTTCTCTCTCTCTCTCTCTTTCTCTCTCTCGTGTGCAAAGAGAAAGGCCAATTTCCCAACACAAGAGAAGATGCCTTGTGTGTGCGTTTGAGTTGTCCGAATCCGTCTGCACTGAATCTCCACCGGCTTTCTTTCCGACAGCATGACCACCCGTCTACCTGAACAGGTACTGGTGGTGCGTTTGCCTGATCTATCCTACATCTGGCCATGGCAGTTTCATGGTGCCGAGCAACATCCGACTCCGACCTTGTGCCATCCCTCCAAGCCCTAGGAAAGAAACGCCGCCAAACGGCCCCAACATCTCAATGCATGCCGCACCCTCAAGCCTAAACCGAACAGCATAGGCCCAGGCCCCTCACCTGACCGGACCAAATCTTTAAGTTTCGGGCATCACCCACAGTAGACGTCATGATGCCACCAGCCAAATCGCGGAGGTCCGTGTTCGAAAGCCTGGGGAATTTTCGTTTGCTAAAAGTGCATTTCCGGGTACTAGAACAAAAAGGTATTGTGGGGTTGCTATATAGGGTTACTGCATGGGTACACATATTGATGGTAAGAGATCAGGAGCTCGGGGTTTCAACTTCTCGGACACGCCAGATGAGGTCACGGAAGGACGTCTTATGAGACATCGGGTGCATTGGCTGCCATCGGCTGTGGTGCAGCTTCGCACTGGCATGTGGACTGCGGGCCGGAAGACGCGCGTGGCTACTTTTGGTTTTTAGGGGACACGGCAAGATGCTGGATGCGCTGGAACACGGAGAATCGGCTCTGGTGGGGAACTGATGCAATTTGGCTGCGATGCTGCAAATGGTTACGTACGTCATGTCGGGATGTTTGGCCAACAAGCGGCGACTGAGGCGACAGTCGTAGCCAATCCTGAAACTGCAGCTGGTCCGGCTCGGGACACAAGTCCAGAAACATGATTAGTGTATGATTCGTATGAAGCTTCAACCCTACACTGTGAAGTAATTCAATTTGCTGACAGCATCCGGCCGCACCCCACCTGAAGCTTGTTTTGCTGCATTGTAAAAAGCGGACTGCTTTTACAATACTAGTGTTTCAACGCCAGGGGCGTAGAGCTGAGGTTAGGCACATCGTGGACATTGGCAGTTGGAAGAAGTGAATCACTCATGAAACTAATAGACCTAGTCTAGCTCGTCAGTCATCGTTCTACCGATTTCGGGCCGACAACCATAATGCACAAAATACGCGCATTACTTGCTAGTGCGGCAGTCGCAACAGTCAAAGTCATCACCATGAGAACTAGTTCCAAAGCGTGATTAGATTTGGGTAATTGACCAGCTGTGCCCCAGGCAAGTCAGAGAGGTTGTGGCCATGTGCGGTGGCCACCAGCTGAACACCTACTGCAGCCCGGAGTCACCCTCTCCAACATGCAGTCGTTCTCCGGTAGCAACACCCTGAAAGGCTCATTCTCATGTGATTAAGTTCGGTTTACAACCATGATTTGGGTAGTTCGCTAAACTAGGGTCCCTTTTAGGGCCCTTTTTATAAGAGTGCCGTACTATATTGGGGACCCAAAAAAGGACCCTAATTATAAGAAGAGAACTACCCATTTGGCTGTCGGGTGAAGAAGCTTCTCTAGGTCTTCTTTTACCAGACTTCGTGAACATTCGGCAAAGACACAACGGGAGAATCTCGAGGGCAGTGTAATTGCGATTACTGCTGTTATTTAAGATGCTCATAAAACATGATGAGTATTATTGCTACTACTATTGCTTTTATGATTAGTATTCCGATGGCACGAGGCGGCCTCGTTCTCCAATGGTCCGAGCCTCAGAAGCTTAAGCTTAGCTCTTCGACTGCAGTCGCACGCGCTTCGGACTCAGTGTCCGAATAGGCTTAAGGATTTCGGCGGCTGCTGCAGTACAGTAGGGGGTTTGGCGTGGTTGGGTCCTCCATCAATAGCAAAAGCCTCCCCTGGGCCCATCACAGCCTGCGCTTCCCCCTTCGTGCCAATCTCGTCGACGACAAGCACCTTCGGCCTGAGGCCAACTGATGCCGGACGCAAGATGTATCTGCAGCTCATTGCACCTGTTGGGTAGGCTTCAGAGTTTACGGTGTTTATATGCATTAAAGGTTTATGGCGTTGTATACTGTAGATGTATCTGGTTTGGCGGGCGAAACGGTGGCAGGGCAGTTCTCGGTAAAGACAACAGCGCAGCACTTGCGGATGGTAGGCTTGACATTGCAGCTGCAAGTGTCACAACGAGCTAATGTAAGTTGCACCCCGGTGTTGTGGTTGAGGGTGCTTCAGTCTCTCACCTACCATGCTATCATGCTCGTCGCTGAGGGGCCGGACGTCATGTTCTCCAAAACACGGGTCATGGCCTCCCGTCGAGCCTGCCCAAGGCTGGTCTGCAGCTACGCGAAAAGCAGGGAAAGTGGCAGGCAAATTCTGAAGAATTTCAAGGCTCTTTGCCCCGCGAACCTCGCTTCTGGTCTTCATCCCTTTGGAATATGCCTCGGAACATCCAGGATGAAGCTAAAACTTGCAGCTGGAGAAACGGCACAGGCGTCTTTGCGAGGCTTGGAGCCTTGTCATGGGGTATGTTGGAATATTTCAAAGGCCCAGAAATCAGCCCACAACGGGGTGAGCGTATTGGTCTGCCTGGCCAGATCGATCGCTGAAATTTCTCAGAACTTCCAAAAGCGAACATCGCAAGACTGCGTGGCCACCACCAGCTACAAGCCTGAGCAACTGCGGTCCGGATGCGCCAATGCGTTCTTTATGTCCAACACCCGTCCCACAGCCCCTGCTGACTGTTTCCATCCATTGGTCGGCACCAGCACAGCAAAACACATTAGTCAATACACGCAGGGATCATGCCCCTGCTCGGGAAGCAAACGTCCGAAGAAATACCAACGCGAGCATGGAGGCAGCGACACATTTTCCCAGGCAAGTGCTTCGCCCGAGCGCGATGCAGTCACAATCAGTATTATTGGCAACCAGCTATTGGCTGGATATGCCGAGGTCTCAAACAGTACAGTGCGTAGGCATCTTTGGCACGCATGCCCATGCTGACAAATGCAAATGCTCCGGCGCTTGACTCTCAGATTCATGTCAGAAGTCAAGAAAATCGAATCACACATGCACCTTGGCATACAAAGGCACGAGAAATCGAAGGGTGCTGTCGTGGACCCTCGACAATGACATGTGCCAGGGATGCAGCACAACGATACTATACAGCGGCCGAAATGCCGATTTAGAGTCTCCCGACAGACTCATGCTTCATGCAAAGCACCCCTGTGGTCTCACTGCCAAGGCCACTGCACCAACTCCGATTACGACCCCCAGTGCAGGAGTAGGGCCACACTGTGAGATGTCGTAATACTCCAGCTCGCCCCCCGTCGACGAGTTGTCGTCAGTGGTGCTGTTGGCAGGGCTGCTGTCGTTGGTGTTGCTGTCTGCAATCGAGGCTGTGGTCAGCGACAAGGTGGTGAATGTGGTGCTGCTGTAGAGCGACACGCTCGTGGTTGCGCTCGCTGAGGTGCTGGTGGCGGCGCTTGTGATCGTGGCAGTGCTGCGTGTCGCCGTGGTTGATGTGGTGGTCGAAATGCTCGTGGTTGTGCCTGTCGAGGTTTCGCTAAGAGAGCTTGTGGTGGTCGTCGTCATGGTGCTGGAGCTTGTAGTCGTGAAGCTAGTGCTCGTGGAACTGGTGCTCGTTGAGCTGCTGACAGAGGAACTAGTGGTCGTGGAGCTGCTGACAGAGGAACTGGTGGTCGTGGAGCTGCTGACAGAGGAACTGGTGGTCGCGGAAATGGTAGTCGTGGAGCTGGAGATCGTAGAACTTGTGGTCGTGGGGCTGGTGGTCGTAGTGATCGTGAAACTTACGGTCGTAGAACTGGAACTGAAACTTGTACTTGTGGTGCCTGTGGTCGTGGAGCTGGCGATGTTGGAGTTGGCGGCGGCAGAGCTGCAGTTGCAAAACTGCAATGCATTGGAGTTAGGAATCTCCCAGGCAATGATGTCCACCACGGCCGTGTGACTGCCGCCCTCGCCCTTGTAATCGTAGACGCCGATGGAGACTGTGAGTGTGTAGCTGCCTGCATTATTGAGGGGGAGCGCGAAAGTCCGAGGAGTCGCATCCGTGACGATCTCTGAGTCCGGACCAAGTCCTCGCTCGAGCCAGGTTTGCGTGCCGTCTGGGCCCTCGAACTTGAAAAGCATCTGGTATGCCGCTCCATTCTGGCCCGTCGCATTGTACTCCACCACCCACAGGCTGCCGCTAGATGGGGGTGTGTCTGTGATTTGCGTCGTGACGCCGCCGCAACTTTCTGCCTGATTTGTGCAGAAAGCTTGGCTGGGGTCGACTGCTGTGGTTGTCCCGGTCGCAGTGAGACGCGTTATGCTGTTCCCAAGGTCAATCTGCTGGATGTTGGACGAGCACAAGGCGCCCGTGTACTCGCCCGAGCTCGTAAGCTTCCAGCTGCCAGGCAAACCGTCGGCTTCTGCTCCTGCACAAGCCATTGGCCAGTTGACGCTCGCGTCGTCAAAGACGTTCTGCCACACGGAAACATGTGGCATGGAATAAATGTCGGACTGGAAGAAAATGTAGATCTCATTGGACCAGAGGTAGAATGTGAAATCCGTGACAAAGTTCACACCAACTTCATCACATCGATCGCCCCTGTAGCCGTGACGGCAAATGCATGTCTTGAAAGTGGTCTGCCTAGCATCGTTGATGCAGATAGCGTTGTTCTTGCACCAATCGGGCTCGTCACTGCACGGGTCCTGGAGACCTGTGATGACCGGGCAAGCCTCCGTACAAGACAACGATGCTAAGGCATGGGCGGCAGATATCTCATATCCAGAGGCTAAGAGCGCACAGGCTTGCAGGCCGATGGCAAAGACCGTGGCACCTACTGCCATGGCCGAGTTTGAGACCACTTTCAGCACTCGAGCCCATTGGACCCGGAATCGCCTGTTCAAACAAAGCATCTAAACAACAAACAGAGGCGGAACAGAAGTGTTGTGCTGAGTAGCAGCATTGTCCACACAGAGGGCAGTCCAAAGACACTCTGAGGCAAACCTAGATGAACGTGCCAGCTCTGAGGCGAGAGCCATGTCCTTCAAAGCTCTGCCCACAGCCTTGTGCGGTTGGTCGCCACCTGCTCAGAGCTGAAGCTCGATCGAAGCTCCGTAGGCAAACGCCATATCCGACATCTTGCAGCTCTCTACAAAGGCCGTTTCTTCACATCAGTACTTTGATTAGTGTGTGTCCTCTACCGACACCATCGGACCACACCGGCTTCTGTTTTCGATAGGAGTATCAACTAATGCAAGCAGTCCCCCAACTTTAGACACTTTAGACCCTTCCTATGCATCCAGCCGCTGTTGCCTCTGCTGAACCCTAAACCATGTTGAAACTGGACGCTGTTGCATGGCAGGATGGAGGCCCATGCCCCGTCGTTATTCACTGGCATACCGCGGCATACCCCAAGAATTCAGCAGTTGACTCAAACTAAACCCCAAACCCTGAACCGCTGCTGCCACCACCACCACCACCACCACCATGCCGACGACGACTACCACTACCACTAATACTACCACTGCCACTGCCACTACTGCTACGACTACTACCACTACTAGACTACCACTACCACTACCACTACTACTACGACGACGACGACCACCACCACCACCACCACCACGACGACTACTACGACGACGACTACTACTACTACTACTACGACCACTACCACCACCACCACCACCACCACCACGACTACTACTACTACTACTACTGCTACTGCCACTGCTACCACTACTGCTACTACTAGACGCTACTTCTACTTCTACTGACTGCTACCACTACCACTCCATGCTGCAAGACGTGCACGGTCTCAGGTTGCAACACCCCGCGATCTCGCCGGCCGGGTCCACCTGAAAAGTGCTCCGTTTCAGGGCTTTTGGGGTTTAGGCCTCATGAAGTTTGTGAAGTTTTGACTAGCTCGCAGCTCAGACACGGACCTCTCTGCAGCATGTCAGTTCCTTCTGAGGCACCCGGCGATGACTGTTGGCCTTGTCTTGGACATCGTTGAAGCCTTGGTTTAAGGTTTAGGATGTATACCTTCACATGGATCCTAAACCCTCAGCCCCATACCACTGGGGGCCGAACGCAGGCCCGCAGCAACGTAGTCTTCCCGACCTCACACTCCGATGCAGCCCTCCCCCGAGTCGTCTGAACATCTCCTGGAGTAATTATCATGTTTTGGGCGAGTCCGTGTATCAAGGATCCAACTGCACAGGGTCTACGAACAATACTCCCACGAGTCAGCCACGGAGAGGCGCAGTGACGTTCGGGGTCTGTCGCACAAGTCAATTTTCAAATCGGCGCGCATGCGCTTGTCAGGCCTTGTCCCATGCGTGCTAATCTACGCCGCATGCTGATCCGTGCATATCGTGCATCTGGCGCTCTCACTGTTGCTCGTCAAGGTCGCCAGTCCCAGGATTCATGCGCAGATACTTTGCAAGTTGAAAAGGTGGCAGGTTGCAGTCCAGTGGAGTTTGACTAAGCTTGCTCACAGTCCCTTTCGCAGCGCATGAGCTCAACGAAGACATCTGTCTCCGATGGCCACCTTGGCTACACAAACCTCCAAGGTTCAGCGTCCTGCGCGACATAGATCGCCACGGATGTCCAAAAGCGTTTGGCTGCTATAAAAGAACTCTGTCCTGTTGCACTCCACATTCCCCCTCTCAAAAAGCAACGAGGGATGGAGACATGGGTTGTCGTCAAACACTCGGGCTCGCTTCGGGCCCCTCAACTAACGCAGGACAACGGATTGCCAAAGCACACTCTGTCAGTCGCACGAGGCAAGAAAGGCGCCTCATGATTTGGGTTTCGGGTTTGAGTTCGATACCAAAATTTTACACATTAGGACGATTGGCATCCTTTGCTCTAGGGGCTCCCAGATCAGTGGATCATGTCTGCCAACTTCCCACATCTCCCTGGAGCTTAGCACTTCCAAGGCTTCCGAGGGCACATCCGTGGCTGCTGGGGAGTGTCAAGGTCGGTACCAAGTTGTGCCCATGAAAACAAGAAATAAGGCACACAGAATCGTCTGGTTTCGAGTTTAAGTGCTTTCGGATTTGAGGGTATCTTCCTCCCGGCTACGTGCCGCCAGTCAGAACGACATTATGAGGCCAGGGCCTATTATAACAGCTGCACTTCAGGCCTAGGGCTTCAGCGACTGTGAGCAAGGCTGGAGCGCTAAGTTCGGATTGGCGCATCGGTGCTAACGGTGCGAAAAACTAAGCATGACCGAGCTCTCCCCAGGCTTCCTGCAATTGAATTCGGTTCTGCAATCTCATAGCGGTTCAAAACGGTTTCCTTGTAGAGTCAGCTTACTCCAACAGCGAAGAAAGCAGGTATAGTCGCCCTTGCAGAACTCGCAGCATAACGTACAATCAAAGAACAGTGACACCTGCTGCTCCATTACTAGGCAGCTTCGCGGATCAGGCAGCCTAAAGAGAGCACTTGCCACAGTCAAGGGGCCGTGGAAGCGTCCACCTGCCCACTAGCCCACGATTGCCATAAGAGGGGCAGTCCGGCTCTCGCGTCTTGTGTTCAGGCGCCGCCCACTTTGATCGCTTGCGGGCTGTTCTCCGGGGCCTGGAATGGATCAGCGGGCAAGCAGAACCGTCTCTGTGCTCCCGAGCACCGAAAATTCGGATCGTCACGATAATCGCTAAGTCAAACCACTGTAATGACATTACGTTGGTCTTGCCATGGTTGGATTGCCATTTTCATGTAGCCGGCAAGCATTTCCGATCTGCCAGAGCAAGTACCAATGGCCGGCACTCACAACAAAGACCGATTGCCGAAACACATACATGGTCATGGTGTCTTAATGATTCCAACGTTGCTGCAGGGTACGTCATGCTACAGAAAACTATGATCTAGGGGATTCTCACTACTGATTACTCCGAACCCTCTACGAAATAACGAGGATAAGCGGCCACGTCCTTAAAGTGCTCGTTCCGCATCAGCATTGGCACAGTGTCGTTTCCTTTGATGAGAGCCTGACAAGATAGTGTCTAAGGAGTCTAAGGCTGACGGTCAACGAGATTCAACGGGAATCGCCGGTTGCAGGCTAGGCGCTGCATCCCCATCAAAATCCTCAATCGTGACCTGATGTGCCGAGGTCATTTGGAAGATGTTACGCTGCTACTGCTGCTGGTGCTGCTACCACTACTCCTGCTTCTTTGCATCTGGTCAGCGGCGACCCAACCAGGACAGAAACACTAATCCTGCTTTCCACCACTACTCTGCTATCACCACCAGCACCACCACCGCTACAGTACCACCCCCACCTCCACCACCACAACCGCCACGGCGGCAGCTGGGGTTGAACTACTGACCTCTACGTCTGATGCTGATATTTTCGATGCTTCTCCTAATGGCCTTCAGTCAGCATCAAGAAACGACATGGCATACCAACTATGAAGTGCTGCAAAGGCCGTAATCTGGAACTTAGCCCTGGGCACATTCATCCACTGTCTCGACCCGTAGACCATGTGGCTCGTTGCTCACGGAAATGCGCCCAAGATTTGGGACCTGGGCCGCGGCAATAAGTCGAGATGCGAGATGTTATGGTTCAACTGCGTGCAAACGAACATTTGCCACACTTTTCAACAATCTCAGGTACTGTTAACTGCCGGACATACGTAATCCGTATAAACAAAACCTGCAATCGAAGTTGCTTGGATCTTCTTGGCTGTGTGGAGACCTGTACGGATGAAGATCGTTGCGCGAGGCTCCACCAGGTAACCGGACCTGCCAGACCGGTCTCAGCGGATTGAAGCCGAGCCCTTAAGCACCAGACCAGCTTTGAAGCTAGTGTTTCTGACTGCAGCCTGCAACCCACATGCACGCCTGCATATCAGCCAACTGCCATGTAAAGCAATGCTTCGATGTGGAATGTGTCAGCCGTAGATATGAGCCCTGACTGCAAAGCCCTTTCTGATTTCATTTATTCTGGCTTACTTTTCGATTCTGGTGAATGCTTCACGCCAAGGATTGCCAAGAGACATGATGGCATGCTCCCCCGGTGGAACCTGACCACAAACACTCTGCTACAGTCGCATGGTGCTGGCCTTCGACACGTAAAGTTCGCAAGGACGAGTTTCAGTATGATAGAATGTCAAGTCGTGGACCGGCTATTGACCTGGACCAACCTTCCTAAGTCGACACTTGCAGCTTCCCTCGTGTGGGCTGCAGGTATGTTTTCACAACCTAACTATTTCTTTGCAATCGCCAAGGTCCAGATCTTACTGGCCTGGCCGGGAATGCTGAAAATTGTCGCCCAGCTTTCGCTCGTGCAAACAAATATCATCACGAACGCCTCCCTCAGTTTCTTTGGCTAGCCGCTGTGGCGGCAATTATCATATTGTTGTGATACCCGTGCTTTTGTGGTACATTGATAGGAGAGGGAGCACGAGCGACGAAGAGAGCGCGACAAAGCGAGAGCCAAAGTAAGATGCATACGCTTACCCACAATTAAGGCCAACCGTGATTGTTCACTCATTACTCGCTCTCCACCACTAAGCATCACATGCTATTTGCTATCACGGCGATGACGACGACGACGACGACTAGCAGTGCTAGTACTAGTACTCGTAGTAGGTTCGTCGTCGTCGTCGTCGCAGTAGTAGTAGTAGTAGTAGCAGCAGTAGTACTACTACTGCTGCTACTACTACTACTACTACGACGACGACGACCACCACCAGCATGGCAGTTACTAATCACCTCCTTCTCTTCGCAGATATGACTGTACGTTTACTCTTCGAAGCTACGTCATTGCCACTTGATGTATGAACCTAAGTCCTTCTCCGTTTACAACTGCAGCGACTGTTGACAGCCCTGGCAATTCTTACCTACCCACCTGATGTTCGATACCGTTGGCAGGGGTCGCATCTCCGTGATGTCGGGCCTGCAATTGCAGGAGAAACACTCTCGAATCCAGCATGGCAAGCGGATGCCGTCTTTGTCTACAGCAAATAGATGTCAGCATGAGCAGCAGGACTAAGCGCGGTTCATGATTACATGACAAAGTGTGGTGCCTCGATCAGCAAAAGCGGGGTCTGCATGTTGTTCACGACAATGATCTCTGTAGTGAACGGGCTGACATCCCTGACCTGAATGCAAGGCATGCGGAGCCATGAATTAGTGATTTTGTGCCAACTTGAAATTGTTGTGTCTGGCCTATCTTGCAGCGGAGAAACTGTCTCACAGTGCAGGTGCGAGCCGGACAAGCCCATGGCTTCTTGAAGATCGGCAGAGGGCACGAACCAAAAGCAAATGGGTTTGCTAGCAGCACTGGAGCTGCACTTTGAACTGCACGCGGCTATGGGACGCAAGTGTTCAACCGCTGCAGTCACACTGGTCACAGGATGTCACGGGGCCACACGAAGCCCCACCTGGTTTGAATGCAGTGATTGCAAGCGCACCATCTGTATTGATTTCTCCATTTCCTACCGGTAGGAGCAGGAAGCCAAGAGAGATGAGTGGACTCAGCGGCACAGCAGAAGATTAAGATAAACCTTGAAAGAAAAGCATCCGAGCCTCAGAAAGATGAAATCCCAGCGCAAACCCTGCAGTTCTGCTTGGCGCGAGGCTCCAGGGGGCCCCAGCATGAGGATGGAATTGGAATCTGCCAGGATGTCCTGTGTCCATCTTTTCGTGTACGCATGGGGTGTGCGAGCTGCATTGTGAGGTCATCTTGTGTCTTTTTGCTCCTCACCCCCCAGGTACCAAGTATATAGGGCCCTAGGGGCTCTAGTACCCTACATAGGTACCTGGCAGGTTAGGGTATGATGTAACAACTGCAGGGGTGATGTTTCCTCGTCGTCATCATGCTCACTGCAATCACCGCACTCTCCATCGTCGCCACCACCCCCATCAGCGGGTCTGTGGGCCGTCGCCATGTTTAAGTGTCGAATGCACATAGTTATGCTATGTTATGCTGCCATCGATCGTGATCCCTGGTGGCTTGCATACGTCGCGCGATGCGCAATCGCCACCACAGTGAGCCGAGCCTGATCACCCTCTTCACCAGTTCAGGCCGAAACAAACATTACGGTTCCTGCTCATGCAGCACAGAAATCAGATTCATCAGTCATGATCGGGAGCTGATCGGGACACTGGCTCTCGGTCGCGCGAGCAGTGGTAGTGGCAATAGCAGTACTTCGTAGTGGCTAGCACTAGCAGCGGTAATCAGCAGCAAGAGAAGCCTGTGCGGTGTGCTGAGGCGCTGCAATGCAACCTGGAAGCCTTGGCATCAAAAATGGGTCAGAAGCAACCCAAAACCACAAACAGTGCTGCGATTTGCCCTTGCCCATGTCTCCGAATCCACATTAAGAAGAGGGTGGAAGAGAAAACGTGGAAACGTCTCCAAACTGTTCAACCTAGCAATATTAATTACTAGCATCATCGCTGGTAACAGTTATGGAAGTTCCAGAATGGGGGACCCGCTATACCAACTCCAAACACCGTCCTTCATATATATATATATACACACACATATATATATATATACATATGTATGTGTATACACATGTGTGTGTACCTGTATATATGTTTACTTGTCTATCTAACCTTACACATGTATATACTTACAATATACACACACACACCTATATATATATATGCCTGATATATACGTACGTAGCACCAGAAACAAGGTGGTGTTCCTCCCCTTATGCGAAATGAAGTACGCAACCCCTTGTACAAGCCTCATTGCGCCAGCGTAGACCCCAACTAGTCAAGCAGCCCAATCCCTCCCCTCAGCAACCCGAAAAAAAAAGTGTTCAGCTGCTGTAAAGCTCATGGAAGGCCGTTCAGAACCGGAGTCGGTCCTCCAAAAGCCCAGCGAGATTGGAAGAGGCCCTACCTCGGCCCAGGGGCTTCAAGGCCTGGGGTTTCGCCTCCCGGCTCCTGGGTTTCGGCGCTCCACAAACTGTCTGGCTCCGGTCTTCTTTGTGGCTCCTGCCTTGTTGACGAGGGTCCGCTAGTCACTAGGGCAGGGTAGCACTGTGAGACTTTGTGAGTTGATGGTGGAAAAGAAGCACCAAGTCCTATGTTCTTTATCCTCTTCAGAGTCTCGCCGATGCATCTGGAATCCGGACGTGCTGCCAATGCCTGCTCAAATCTGTTATCATGTCGAAATTTAAGATCACCGAGAGCACCGACGAAAGATGCTGACTCAAAGTGTGGAGCTGCGTGGCAGAACAAGAGATTCGCCGACCGGGCAAGCAGCTGCAGCAGATGGAGGGAGCATTTATACATCCGGGAAAGGAAGCCACTGTCTCAACAAATGGCTTCGAACTGCTGTATCCCTAAAGTCACGTCTGTCCACAAAAGAGAGGGAACGTTCATGAGATCCACCCTTGCAGCCTGGGCCAACTCGGCTGGCACCCAACTCCCGGTACAGCTACAAACTTCAAACTTCTGAGACCCTACCAGCTCGCGGCATGATGCCGCCTAGGGCGGCGACCGACTCGCATAATCAGCGTGACCTTCAGTCAGTGAGATTCATTGAGGCGCTCTCCCTCTCTCGGACAGTATCGATGCAGATCTACAGGTTCGCTTGAATGAAGCCACTGGCCCACAACAAGACCGGTTCAAAGTGGTCAACCTTTGCACAGTAGAATGTGGTGAGCTTGAGATGTGCAGTGGAGTTCTGCAATCAGAGGCATGTTGCCCTTGCTTTTTGCTCCATCTCACAACTTCAGGCCCGGAGGCATTGGCAGGCTTTGGTAGAGCGAAGAACCATAGGTTTAGATTAATATGGCTCCGAAATTTCGGTACGCATGCACACGCATGCATACGTGCATGGTATGCATTCAAGTGTTCCCAACCACCGGACCTTAAGAACCAGAGAAAAAGACGGCCGAGCCAGGCACGACCTGACCAGACTGGTTGCGAGCAGCAGAGATGCGATGCCTCAGACAAGTGACGGCTCCGACGGTCTTATGTAGCACTCCATCGAAAAAGGCTACTGCACGAGACTTGAGGGGGCCAGCAATGCAGCGAAGGTATCCGGACACCAATATTACAGGAGCTGGTGTCTTCACGACTCCATGACCTTCCGTGGTTGGGTCATCACAAAGTGACTCATCCACAGAACACGGGCACCAGCAAACGTAAGCTAGCAAGGGTACAAGACCTTGCTGGCCTCAACTGCCAAAACCGAGAGCCAATTAGTATCGTATATTCTCAACTTGTTGAGTGGCGCCTTTCAGCTTCATGGCAGGAAGAAGTTTTATCCTTGGTGCGGTGCTGATAGAACCTGACAGGCCTGGAAGGTGGCCAGCTCACTGCGCACTGCACCGTGCGGTGCGGCAGCAAAGCAGGTTGAAGTATGATGTTTTGAGTTCCACAGCATGAAAGGTCAGTAAATCGATGTACCAGCATGTGAAAATTCTGAAATTTGCAGATTGAATGTACCGTCATTTCCAGTAGCTGCTTTACTGAACTATGCTTTAACATGCGATAGAGTCTTAGAAGCATGCCATGATCTAGCATTCAGAATCACAAAATATAGCATTGAGAAGTATACTACTTTACAGTAAGCAATCGAGGCCACATCTATCCGCCCAAATCATACGATGCCTATAACCCGAGACTCCCCTAACTTTTGCGCCCGAAGCGTGCCTCGATCCGCTTTGCGGGGTGAAGTCCCAGGGCATGGTTCCTTTTGTAGGGGTCTGCTGCCTTCTCAAGCTCTGAGGCTCCGGCAGGGTCCCGTCAATGCCCGCCCGGTCCTGTTTCGCAAGTCCCATTCGCGTTTCGCTTAGAGAAGGAAGCTAAAGAACATGATGATGATCATGATGATATATGATGATGATGATGATGATTTTGAGGTTTGGCCGAGAGAGAAGCAACCTGATTTCTAGATCAATCGGTGGGTTTATGGATAGATACACAGATGGTACATACATGTGTATCGTTCGTTATCCGTGCAGACCTTTAAATAAAATTATGGGCACACGCACATTCATCTACATCTACTTTTCGTGTATAAACTTTACAGGTATGCATTATTGTGTGTATGTGTGCACAAATGCACGTAAGAATGCACAAAAAACCGACTAAGTCATGACTTCATGAAAAATGAGCAAACAAACAAACATGACATTAAACGCACAGAGAAATACAAAAACTAATAGCAAAACACTTATATACGTATACATACATATGTATATATGTGTGGCTGTCTGTGTACATAAATAAAAATAAATAAATAAAAATATATATATATATACCTGGACAACCCGCCCCCCCATAATTTCAGGCACAATTCCTAAGTGCATGAAAAAACGCCATTGTTGGCCAAAAACGCAATCTCTCTGAAAAAAGGTAATCGGCTAAATGCTCGTTCTCGAAAAAAACGTAATCTTCGGACTTCTTTTCACTCTTCAGGACAGCATGCTCCAAGCAAGTTTCTTCCAAAGCTCCTCATGGCAGACCTGGTTGATGCTGAGCCCTAAACGATATTTATATACTTTAAGCTGAAATCTTAAACCCCTAAACAAGGCCTTATAGCAATTGATATATAAGCTAAGGGAATTACTTGAGGAGCTTTTCAAGAAGTAGACGAACCTTCACCAAGTACCTTTGCGTCGTTCGGAGCGCTGCTTGGGATGGATGAACCCGCCTGGAAATCCTAGCCAGTCGGCCTATGTAATCCTCGTTAGCCTCGCAAAGGTGAATGGCTTCGTTAAGAACCCACGGCTCGTCGTTGTCAATCGCGGACTTCAAGGGCATTAGCAAGTGCATAAAGTAGTGCAATTTGGGTCTCAAGCGAAACCCTGCCGCTTGACAACTCATGAGGTGTTCGGCGAGGAAAGCGTACCCTCGAGCGAAACTCAAACCCCCATGTAGCTGAACCTTGGCACAGTTTAGTGGGAGCCAGATGCCATGCGAGTGCATGACTCCGATATAGTCTAAGCCCCCACGAATCATCTGGGCTACTGCTCGCAAAAACACCGAATCGGATGCCTGCTTTGGCTCAGCCACATGGGTCGGCACGAGGAAATCTAGCCATTGCATCAGCATAACGACCTCGCTTCCTTTACAGTTCGCCCAAGCAAACTTTGAAAAAGTCTCGAACTTCATGTTCGCCTTGCTGAAGCTCTTCAACGAAGCATTCTTTCCTGCTGCCATGCACCACATCTTGTAGAGTGAGAACCCCCTCATGAGACGATCACTTATGTTCTTAGGATCCTCAGCAGAAAAGTCAAAGTAGCCCATCAGTGCCAGTCTCACGATCGTACTCCCAACAGCATCACGGAATATTCCGAATTTCAAAACATGAAATGGATCAAATTTGTATAAGTTGGCTGGAAAGGTGCTAGAGTAAGGGGCCAGATTGAGTGGCGGCGTGCTTTCCCATGGCACTGATGATCCTACGGTGTCCAGCCACTCGGGCGCATCAGAGACATCTGTGTAGCTTACACCTTCGGTGCCAGCATGACAGAGCGGGCAAATAGGAGCACTGTTGACTGTCCCGGTTCGATGGTACGACCGTGTAAAGGTACCGGCCTCAAAGTGCCACTCTGCGTCGCCTTTAGCCCCCAAGAACACAAACCGGAACTGTGTTCCTGATTTCTCGTGCAGCAGGCCTCTGCGGAAACCATCGGTTAGATCCAGAGCTGCTTGCTTCAACAAGGATGGAAGGACGTGTTCATTCTTGTTGTAGACCTTCGAAGGGATTGCTGCAATCAGGAAGCGGCTCAGGTAACTGTGCCCACGATTGTTGTGGCGTTGGGCATTGCCTTTGATTCTTGGGTTCAGACGCACAGCAGGATCATGAACAGTGCAACTATCGAAGCACATCTGACTAAAGCTCCGCTTCCCGGATGCACGGCGGCCACAAGACCATTTCAGATGCCCATCATGCATGTCATGCCGTGTGTTGCGACGAGTATCATAGGCAACCTTCTTTAGCATGTCTAGCGGAAGGCCCCAAACAAGTTCGAAGTTCATGACAAAGATGGGGGATTTCTGTAAAGTTCTGCCCTTGTCGCCGTGAACCAGAACTGGAACACAAACAGATCGATCTTTTGCATCTACTTCGGAATAGATCACGTGCTCTGGATGATGCTTCTGGTAACGGCTCCAAAACGTACTGCAAAGATCTCGGGCAGCATCGGAATCCGCCTTCATACCCCCAAACAAAACTTCTTCGAAGTTGTTGAGCAAATGCTTCAGGAAATCTGTTATCTTCAAGTACGGAATCGTTATGCTGTCCTCCGCGCTGCTCGACGGCACATCCAGAAAGGAGATTGGAACTCGGAGGGCCAAACCATATCGATTGAACAGCCTGTGTGCATTCCGTTCACTATGACTCTTGTCAACTTTTGTGGCCTCCCGAATGTTCTTCGTAGCACTACCATCAGCAACTACAGCTTCAGCAATCTCGCCGATCACACAAGCCGGTGCCTGGGTGGTGGGTGATATTATGGTTTGGGGTTTAGGGGTTTAGGGGTTTAGGGGTTTAGGGGTTTGGGGGTTTAGGGGTTTGGGGGTTTAGGGGTTTAGGGTTTAGGTAGAAGACATTAAGTGTTTCAGGTATAAGACCTGGTAAGTTATGAATATATATATATATATTACTATAAAGGGCTGCAAGCTTCGGGGTTTTAGGTCGATATCCTCTCTAGGAATTGGTGTTGCTGGTTTCCACTCTAGAGCCTTGTGCGAGGCCCTGGGCCTAGCTAGCCTATCTATCTATTATAATAGCTATATAGTCTATATATTCGCCTCTAGATTGAGCTTCACGAAGCCAGACTTTGATAAGGATTGCATTGCTGTCTGGATTAATCGATGTTTGGGGCTTGCATGAGCTTTGGGGGGGCTCGACTTTTGTTTCGGATTGCCTATATAGGATTTGATCGGATTGGCGTTTACACATCGAGCTTCGGGGACTGCACTTCCTTTTGTTATGTTGCAGGTCATCAGCCGATAGGATCGCTTATTGTTTTGGTTTACATGGTATTTCGGAGACGAGGATTTTGTTCTGAGCTTGGGGAACTATATATATATATCGGAATTGGATTGGCATGCTGCACAGTAATCTGAGACATGCACTCCATCGGCCACTCGCTCAGCCAGTGCACGGAGGGTGTGGCTCGCTTCTGGCTCACCTGCAATGCCACTTATTGGGAAGGGAGCAAATAGCTAAGAGTTCAGCCAGGTCGTGCAATCAGAGCATGCATCACACACACACATATATGCAGCTAAGCTTTTCGAGCGGTACGTGGTTGCGAGGATCCAGCTGCTGCAAAAATCGGGCTTTATAATCGCTTGCTTGATTTAGCATGATTACCAGACTAACGTAGGGAATCCTTCAAACCAGGTCTAACCCTAAACCCTAAACTTAAGGATAACTGTATCAGAACTGTAGCAAGCCAGCCCACGTGCCCTCTGAAAAGGATCCTTCGGACGCCGCTGCTGCTGCGCTCATTTCTTGGGCTTCTTGGCTGGTGGCTCGCCGCCAGCTGGAGCCTTGACTCTGGCTTTGCCTGCTGCCTTTGGGGTAGGTTTGCTCTCCGCAACAGCCTTCGCCTTCGGGTTGGCAATGATGGTCCTGGCAAAGGTTTTGGATATCGACTTGTCACGGAACATGTGTGTTGATCTTTGCAATCCTGGCACGGGTTTCCAATTCGGAAGATTCGATCAACCTCAGATCATCCACTAAAGGATGGGTTGACATCGTGAGAAGATACACTCCAGGTAGCAGTTTCTCGGGTGCAGCCACGGCTCAGCTTTCGGCATTTCCCCAGCTCCACATCGATATCATTTTCTAGCCTCATTTACGGGCGTTGTCTAGATGCAACCCGAAGACCGTTGTATAACTTAGGGGGCCTTTAGGGTTCAGGGGTTTGAGTTTAGGGTTTCAGGGATTCAGGTTGTAGCATTTTGCGTTTATATCAAGATCCTTGATGAACGAACTCGGTAGACCTTGATTATCCGCCGACTTTACACATTCTTTAGGGTTTAATTGTTTAGCCGTTGTCTGGGCAGGGTCAGGTCGGGCTATGTTATACAGGGTTTATATAATTATAAGGCATAGGCAGTCTAGCAGCTTCTCACTGTAGCCCTCCAGAAGACCTTCAGCCTTGAACTTCTGCAGATTCTCGCAACAGGAATCCACTTGATCATAGACGGCCCGGATCTTCGCGTACATCCTGAACAATGAAAGTATATAAGTATGCTATGCATTGTGTGGTTATTCAAACGAATGCTGAGACCAAGGCTTCTCTTGAAGGGTCGAGGTCGAAACCAAAGGGCCCTCAGCCGAAGTAGCCTCAGCCACCTCAGCCTCCTTGTCCTTCTCTTCAGTGCGTGCTGGCAGCATCTCCCAGAGTTTCTTAAGTCTTTTCGTGCAAGCCAGGATAGCCTTTTCGATTAAGGTCGACGGCTTCGAAGTGTCATGTATGTCTGGGTATCCCAACCGCTTCAAGAGTTTACTGAGATCTTCGCTCAGAGGCCCCGATTTAACAGCCCCGTCGGCTGCATCCACAATCGAATCCGGCATGGTACCTTAAATGTTTGAAGTAGAGAGCTCAGGCAAGAAGTGTGGCTGCATGCATCGGCGATCCTTCAGCGACAGCAGCTGAATTGCAAAAGAGCAGCCGGAGCCCTGTTCCAGGGTCTCGTCCAAGTCCATGTCCATGTTGAGGCCAGCCCCGAAGGCTTCAGTCTCCATCGTCTCGAACAATCTCATAGTGTCTGTCTTCCTCAGGCAGCAACATAGTCTTGCAAACGAGGGTTATGCTCACATGGCGTAGGTTTAGGATATGCATCGAATACAGATCGGCGTCGTGTAATTGTAGCAACATGTATCGATACAGACGGGGCACTTGTTGTGCCCTTTCACTTTGATCTCGCAGTAGTACCGGAGCTGCCCAGGCTTGTAGAGGTGCTTCCTCGGATGGATAGCAAGCATGCATATTCTGAATTGCTTAATTGGTTTGCAATAAAGGCACCGACTTGGTTTGCAATAAAGGCACCGAATGTACCGAGAGGGGTTCTTCTCCGCTAGTGCAACACACTCATCGATCTCAGACCTCAGTTTTTGCAATCGAAGGGTTTTCGCCGAAGTATGCTGTGCTGCTGCAGAGTGGCTGGGACATGTTCTGTTCTTCAGCCATCTCCTTCTTAGTTAAGTACTCGAAGTCTACCTCGAGCTCCAGTTGAAACTGCTTCTCCCGCTCCACAGAAAACTTGTTGATGAAAATCTCCTTTCAGGGAGTGCGCAAAATAGGCACGATCCTAGGTTCTAGGGTTTAGGTTTAGGGTTTCATCTAATTTAGGGTTTAGTTTAGTCTTTATATATAGGGTTTAGGGTGGGGCTTATATAGGTCTTAGGAGGCGCTGTCCGGATTGTTCTCGCAGCTCGCGAAAAGCTTTAGAACTTTCTCTTTGGATTTGCCACCGGCATTGAACTGATCACGAATACACTTTGCCACCTTGTAAACTCCCTTGCTGCTCGGTTCCATGCATCTCATAACCCTCTTCTGGAGGGCTCCAGCAGTCGGGGGGCTTGGGCACGCTTTCACAGGTGCCTTTGCAGGCGCTGGCGCTGAGGTTTTGGGAATCGCCAGCCGTAGGCTTCCTGGGGGTGGCGGTGCCATGCTCATAGACTTTGCAGCCGTCGGGGGCGTGATCGGTGTGCTTTGGGCAGGGGGCGGTGTCGGGGATTGAAACAGGCTGCGGCTAGGCCAGGCATCTTGAGCATCTTGGCTGGATGGCTCCAAGGGGGACAGTGGCTCTGTTGGGGTGATTGGGTTGGCATTGGGACTTAGGGTTTCCAGCTTGGTAAGACCTGGCATCAATGGCACCTGCTGGGATGCCATTTTGGCGTCGGTCTCAGCTAACACCTCCTGCAACTCCTTTTGAAGTTCGGCCAGCTTTGCCTGCTTCATGACTAGGTCAGCCTTCTTGGCCCGATACCTGTCGATATCCGACTCAAGCTCTGATCGTCTGTTTGTGGCCAGTCGTTCAGCTTCCTCCTTTTCCTTTGCCTGTCGCTGCAGCTCCTTTTCCCTCGCCTGTCGTTCAGCTTCCTCCTTTTCCTTTGCCTGTCCAAGCAGCTCTTTTTCCCTCGCCTGTCGTTCGGCTTCCTCCTTTTCCTTTGCCTGTCGCAGCAGCTCTTTTTCCCTCGCCTGTCGTTCGGCTTCCTCTTTTTCCTGCGCCTGTCGTTGCAGCTCCCTCTCCTTTGCCCGTCGTTCGGCTTCCACTTGCTCGGTAACCCGTCGTTGCTTTGCCTGTCGTTCAGCTTCCTCCTGTTCCTTTGCCTCCTTGTCTTTTGCCTGTCGTTCAGCTTCCTCCTTTTCCTTTGCCTGTCGCTGCAGTTCCTTTTCCTTTGCCTGTCGTTCGGCTTCCTCCTTTTCCTTTGCCTGTCGCTGCACTTCCTTTTCCTTTGCCTGTCGTTCGGCTTCCTCCTTTTCCTTGGCCTGTCGCTGCAGTTCCTTTTCCTTTGCCTGCCGTTCAGCTTCCTCACGGTCCTTCGCCTGTTGCTGAAGCTCTGCCCTTGCCCGTTCTGCAGCTTCCTCCTTTTCCTTTGCCTGTCGCCAGAGTTCCCTTTCCTTTGCGTGCCGTTCGGCTTCCTCGCGGTGCTTTGCCTGTCGCTGCAGCTCCTTTGCCTGTCGTTCGGCTTCCTCCTTTTCCTTCGCCTCCTTTTCTTTTGCTTGTCGCTCCAGCTCCTTTTCCTCTGCTTGTTGCTGTGTCTCGGCAGTGTCGACTCTTTCGGTGGCACGACCTACTACAGTTCAGGGTTTAGGGTTTAGGGTTTAGCTAGGGTTCAGGGTTTAGGGTGGTGCACGAATACAGACGAAAATTAGACACCAACTAAGGTACAGCCAGCCTTCCTGGTTTCCAGTGGCATCGTCACCGGCTTCCGCAGCTTCCTGCGGCACAATTTAGGGTTCAGAGTTTAGGTATATATATATATAATATAATATGGTACTATATAGAAACCTGGTCCGTGACAGTCGCGAACCGGAGGGTCTGAGATGGATTGTTACGGCTTCAGTGTTCTTCGGAATCTATTCGGGCCAGTGTTATGTATAGGTGTTGGAAAGTTTAGCAGTTATCTTATATACAGGTTTAGGGTTCGGATTTTGTGCATTGCTGCGCAGGAAGTTTCTTGACCATATCGAGATGGGGATTTAGAAGTGGTGTCTTTAACATGGGTTCCAACCTGGCTCTCATTGTAGTGTAAAGGAAAACACATGAGGAATCCGTCGACTCGTCCGATTGCTTTCTACACCATTAATATATTTGTACTGAATGCCACTGCATGTATATATATATAATATAATATATTATAATATAATTCTATAGATATATATAGTATATATATATATTATATTATATATATATTAAATATAACATTTTAAATATTTATATTATATTATATACATGCAGTGGCATTCGGTACAATCGATGATCTCTATATATTGTACGTATATAACTCTCACGAACCCCACGAACCCGAACTGGATTCAATTCACAACAAAAAAGGGAACCCGGGAGTTTGCCGCTGTCTAGCACAATGTTAGATCGATATGATATATGATATATCCACCCCAAGCCCTACACCCTGAACACTAAACCCAAACCCTAACACAAGCCAAGCCTTCGCTTCCTTCAAGAGGGCATGCTTTCGCTTCAAAGCCTGAGCATAAGATTTAGTCTGTAGAGTGGGGTCTGGGGTTAGGAATTGAGGCTTTAATTATAAGTTCGAGCCGGCCTCGATTTGTTTCAAGATTTCCATTTCATCCTCCTCTGGTTCTTTCTTGACGACGCCATGTCTCGAAATTTGCAGGAGTATGTCGGCACCCCTATCCAAGGATTCCCTGGACTGGCCGACAGTGCTAGAGGACCTATTCGGCTCCATCTCGGGCCAAGAAACACCTTAAGGAAGGAATCTGAGGGCTGTGTTCGGAGCCATGAAAAGTGTCTGTAACAGCTGGACGGCCATTTCCGCTATTTGGACGCCCATTTCCGCTATTTGGCCGGCCAAATCCGCCATTGTTTGCGGGCCTGATTTCCCGCACCACAGCCCCGCAAGAGCGCAAAACTAGCATTAAAGCCTCAAAATAGCGCAAACCAAAGCCTTCCGTAGATCTAGGATAGGATCACTGTAAGAACAGCCGAATCTAATCTGCTTGGAATCCGCGGTTCACTCGCCCATGTCTGGCTGCAGGAAAGGCAGGTCCCGAGGAAAACGAAGCTTCTCTATTAGAGGCTTGAACTCCCGAGGAACATGTACATTTTTCGCAAGCCTCAGATACAGCACAACCTCACCCAAAGATGCTTCCTCCCAGTCTGTGTCATCCCAGGAGAGGTCGCCGAAAAGCTCGTGCAGCGCCCTCTGCGAGCTCTGGTCGGATACGGCCACCTGCAGCACATGGGCAGTTGGGATTGGGACCATGCAGGGCCACTTTTTGGAGCCCCAAATTGGGGTTTGAGAGAGTCACAAATCAGCAGCCCGAGGGCTCATTCTGAAAGAGGATATATATTGTAATTAAGCAGGACTTGGGAAGGCATCTAGGTTGTTAAATTAGCCCCGCCTGCACCGAGGGCCTCGTAGTCCTGGAGGGTTCGATCAGTTCCACGATCTTGCGCCTGAACAGTGGAGGATAGATCCTTAGGTGGGATATAGTTTAAATTGGGGACCGTTATAATCATCTGGTTTCGGGGTACTCCAGTATTCAGCCTAGAAGCCCGCTGGCTTTCAGGTCCTTCGTCCCATGAACCTTCTTTCTTCCACGAGCATCTGTGTAAGTCTTGCTCAGTTTCGTGCTCGCAGTCCGTTGGGCCGCGCTGGGCTGCCCATTGTCGAAAATCCTGATATATGGTGTGGTAGACCATAATATAGTCTTCTTCGGGTTTTTGTGCCCATGGTGGCACATGTAAAACTTCTGGGTGTAAACCTCAGACGGCAACAGACTTCTAATGTTGCACTGATATACTACATGCATGCGATTGCAAAAGCATACGGCAAAGCGTTTAGAAGACCAGCAGCAGGAGCACCATGTTCTTTCAAGACCGCACACACCCAGGAAAACCGAGGGAAGTAGCCCAAAACAGAGCTTCCTGGATTCTCCACGATGAAGTTGTGGCCCAGCACAGCCAAGAGAACCAACAGGAGACACGTCCTGCAGAGGCCGTCTTCGATAACCAATCAGGGTTTAGGGTTTAGGGTTGTATTGAAGGACCCCTATTAAACAAGGTAGTGGGCTTGCTGGCTGTAGCATAGAGAGAGAGAGAGATAGAGAGTG